TTTTAGAGGCTCCAAACCTACTACCAGCTAGTTGCAGGCCTGAACACCCTAGCAAGCTCCCGTAACAGAGCTAGCTTTACCCAGCAAGCAGGTTCTCCACGGTTTATCTTGCTACAGCCATTGCTACAGTTCAATTTTTGGCAGTACTCCTGACTGTTGTGACCTAAGAATTCGCAAGATCACGTCTTCTCAACCTGAAAATTTAAAGGATCAGGCACCTAAAACATCTATAAAGCCTTTAGTCCTATTGAAGGCACCAAGGACCACTAGAAAGTTATCAGCAACTTAAATTACCACATACTCCAACGTCTGCACCAATATTATTGATCCACAGCACCATACATTGTTAAGAAGTGCAGTCATGAAGGCAGGTCTAACGTGAACATGCCCCTCGCACAGCCTCGGAAAGCACAGTGTGCACCAGCAAGGTGGACATCTGCCTGAGCAAGGTAAGAGCTTTGCAAGAGCTTTGCAGCAATCTGAGGTGATTGCTTCTTGTACTGCTACAATAACAAACACTGAAGTATTTTAATAACTACACAAAATTTTCTACAAGTTCATCAAGAATTTATATTGTAAACTATTTGATAATAAAGTATCTCTGAGAATATTTTAAAGTAACAACAAAAAGAAATAAAATTTAACTTTCAGAAAAGCCTTCATTTTTTTTTTCAATAAAATATTTAGCCAGTCCTTTATATGCACCTGCAGCCAGCTTGTCTGCTGGTAAATTGTGGTTTAAGAAGCCCTCTTGTATGGTGCATAAAACTGATTTGTATATTTTCCTTGTTTTTTTCCCCCCCTCTCAGATTAAATTTAGAACTCAATTCATAAATATTGCTAAAATAGAATCTACTTTAACTTGCAATTTATTGAGAATACCATGATTTATTTTCATTGTAATATATTAAATAAACACAGAAATATCCAAACATCTGCTAAGGTAGCCTACTGTGATGAATTCAAACACCAGTCAGAGAAGTAGTTACACCTAGATTCAAAATGCACATGTTTATTCCTAGATAAGAAAAGGTAGGTTCACTTCAGTCAAAAAAAAAGTTTCCATGCAACCCGTTGTTAACTATTTGCAGTCTGTCCATTGGCACGAACCTGGCTAAGTGCTATTAATGTTGCTTAATGGGAATCAGGAGATGCAGCTTCCTGCACCAATTCCACCAGGCTGTTAATCTTGAGAGCAATGTGGTGACACAGCTATCTTGGCATACCGTTATTTCAGAAAATACATGCTTATACGAGTAAGACAGCCCAGTAGAGCAAAAAACCTCCTTGATGCAACACCCGCTTTGTGCAGAAGGCCCCGACCAGCCGAGCACTCGAGCTCCTCCGGCAAGGGACTGAGGGTGCGTTGAGCTGCCCCTCTTCTCACACTGAGGGAAATGACCCTTACCAGCTGCTGCTCAGAACGGCCTCCCCGAGCCTCCCTGGCAGCTGACATGCAGGATGTGGTTTCTCAATCTCCTGTCCCTTTGTATCAGCCCCAGCCAGATGATGGGATTTGGCTTTTACGCATTCCGCGCACTGCTGTGAAACAAGAAATGGGCTGATTTAATTTATCTGATCTAGAACAGCCTTTTGCAGAGGGAACTGGGAAAGGGAGAAAAAGAAGTGGGACAAGAAGCAAAAAAAGAAGAAAAAAAAAGATGGGACAAGAAGCAAAAAAAGAAAGAAGAAAAAAAAAAAAAGGATCTATGCTAAGAAACCAAACTGTTTTAAAAGGCAGTGTTACCATGAACAGTCATTTGATGACTAGGAATTTCCTTTCAAATGCCTATTCCTATGTATTGTCATGGATCAACTTTACAAGGTCATACTCTGTATCACTTCTTTTAAGAAGACATACATAGCGCAACTCAGGAGTACTTTTATACAAATGATTTGCTAAACGACTTCATCAAAACATCAGAGGTTGATGCTTGCATATGTTCCTGGTCTTTCCTAAAAAGAAGCTTTTCAATATTTAAAATTATGAGCAATTGCAGAAATGAATACAAAGATGAAGAAATGTGTCAAATAAAAGTTGGAAAAGCAGCACAATATGAATATCACACTTTTTTTATATATCCATTGCTTAGAATAAGTGAATATTTCACCACATCATGCTGAAGTTTAAGTAGACTATAGAGCATAAACTCTGGCCCATCTGAAGTCATTCGTAAAATCTGATTAGCCAGGATTTTATCTGCAGTTCTCACTATCTCACAGAAGATATTTAATGAAGTTTAAAATAAAAAGTTAAATATTGAGGATTCGGTGAAAAGTCTTCAAATTAAAAGGAAGAATATTTTTTTATGAAGTATATGTCACATAAATTAATCTACGTGATAATCCCTCTGGTCTATGTGCCACTGAATACAATACTGTACACCACTGTTAGCTGTAGCTTTATTCAAATGTAATTCAGTCTATCTGACTACTACAACTGTACATCCCTTTAAAAGTTATATCACTACCTTTCTTGTACATGGGTGCTTTATGAAAGTTAAAAAATGGCCTTAATGAATAGTCCTGCATTCTTTTCATGTCACAAGCACAAAAGGATATAGAAATGTCTCTTTGAATTGCATATGATGACGTTCTTAGACCACACTCAGAACAAATGCAATCTCAGCAATACAATATACAATACAATATACTCACATACTCATTTTATGATTACAAGGATAGTATCTGTGGGAAACACTCATCCAAAAGAAGATTTAAAAATCAGATCCTTAAAGTACCCAATACATTTTCAATAAATTGATAGTCACGGTCTTCAGTGAGCTGCCCTGACAGTAAAAAATAAAGAAACAAATAATGTAACTTAATGAAATATGAGTAAGATTAGATTCTTCTGCTTGCTTATAACACAGAATGCTAAACACATTGGACAAATACAAGTGCTAATCTGAACATGCGTAATACGTATTTTGTGAAATCAGTACTGTAAATGTGGTTTACATTTGAAACTTTTAATAATTCCAGCTGTGTATAAAAAAATCAATAACTCAAAGCACCTAGCCTGATTTTTGACTCTGTGACATACAAAGACTACACCTTCTCCAATTGTCAGAAATACAATTATTCCATCTCAAAGCCACTGTGCACCTGTCATTTAAAAGGGAACTAATGTAACAGAGATCTATAAACAACACAGATTTAAGGCGCAAAATGGTATTGGGAGGATAGAGGCATAATAAAGTCTTGCTTTTTATTAAATCATCAGATGCACCAGAAAAGGTGTATTACACTTAAAAAATAAAAAAAAAAGAAAAAGAAAAAAGAAGTTCTATTATTATAGAACCATAGAAGCTAGAAATGGAAGGTACCTATTCAAGCACACAGTTCAAAATCCCGCCAAAGCAAGATTATTTCCCAACACTACATCTGACTTAAAACCTCCCAAGAAATTGCATGCTTTGATAAGCTTTGCTGCATCTCTCCAGGACCTAACAGTGCTCTCTGACAGGATCTTTTCTTTTCCTGATTTTTTAATTTATTCTCATTTCCTGGTATATACACCTTGTTTCAATTTTATATAAATGTGTGTTAGCTACACCTTCATACTATTAAACCTTCGTCTTTTATAAGTATTTGCCATATAACATGAAGCTGCACATATTCAATGACAAGCTTTCCTGCTTCTTTTTTACTTCAATCAGTTCTGTTCTTGTTCTGACCCTTGTGAAGACTGACTCAACTCTTGACTCCTAGTGTACCCAGAAGGTACAGCAATATCCCACAGCAATATCCCAGCAATATTCCTTACTACTCACATTAAGAGTATTCTTATTTCCAGCTGTTTGATACAGCACATCTACATTATTCTTTCAACATTAGTGGTGCCAGAAGCACTTCATTGTCTATACTAGCACATGTGGTTTCTTACCATGTTACCACATTTCAAGCTTCTCTTTCTCAGTAAGTATCCAAATTTCCCCAAATGCATAACCTTGTCTTTGGTTATTTTAGGTTGCATCTCATTCTTGCCTATATTTAAGTAATCTACTATTTGACTTCTCCCACTCAGATGTTGTATAGGGTAATATCATCTGTAAATTTTATTAATATATGGTAGAGACCACTTAGAGATTACTGAAGATTTTAAATAGGATTAGGTCATCACATTATAAAAGATTCATTGGAAAGGAGAAATAAAAATTGCATAATGTGCTCATACAAAGCATGACTTACATCTTAAGTATTTCAAATACATTTTATCCTACTTATATAATTATAAAAAAATAAAATCTCTCACTATAGCTACAGTTCCTAAATATAATGCCATATTTTTTCTGCATATCTTTTTGGACTTAGAATAGGAACCATGCTGACAATTAGTTTTACCCAGCAAGCAAGTCCTATTTCAGTCACCGACTAGAGAAAGGTAGGCACACCAAGACTACCTCACAGCACAAAATTTTTTAGCATAAAATACCACATCTACTAACCCATATTTCCATTAAACCACAAATGAAAATATAGTGAGATCTAAATTTGCAATGACAATTAAGAATTCAGCTCTTTTAAGAAAAACTTTCAGAATTCTATGATATGATCCTGTAAGTCAAATAATGTTGAATGTGCTGACAGCATTTATAATGTAAAGGTATTACTTAACATAGCTGACTAATCCAAGTCCAATACAATTTTGATCTCTTGTTTAAACTAACTGCTCCTTACAATACTTTCTCAGAGGCTCAAGATATACTAAATGCTGATAAAAAATAAAGATTTAACATATTAAAATAGGAAAGATAACATTAAGCCACCTAGTCTACGAAAAACATCATTACCTAATTTAAGTTCTATTTTCCAGAAGATTCACTTTCAGAACAACTTGCTAGCTCTCCCTTTTTTAATGAAGGCTACAGATTTCATAATAAAAAGCACAATAGCCAACTATTCAGTCTCTTAAAGCTATTTGTAAAACTACTGAAAATAAGAAAATGATTTTGTCTAAAGAAATGAACAGTTAAAAATCAAAGATGAAGCCAAGAATGAAAACACAAGGCTGAAGATATGTTAAACTGTAAAAATAATACAATCCATGATATTTTATGCACAGTTGTTTATTCTTGTTCCATGTTTTAAAACTTGGACTCAGAAAAATCACAGGAAGTTTTGGGGTTTTACCCTCATTTTTCCATTAAAAGCACCATAGTTACAGGAGTTGATTCAATCGTCCTTTTCTACAATCACTTCTCCATAAAGCACCTTTCTTCTCTGCCGCAGCATGTGGAAGTAGAGTTGTGGAAATACTGGACCAAGGAAGAACAGAAAAGAAGTTTGATGGAAATACACGTCTGCATACTGCTCAACAACACACTTGGATGAGACAAATTATAGTAAATCGTGAACACTGTTAAACGAGGACTGAGGTTTGTTCAGAAAGGGTTGGCAGTGGGCTGGGGGATTTCTGTGAAGGTGGAGTCTTGAAGAATTTTGCTACAAGTTTTTCCCAAGCACATTCAAACAGTGATTTTCAGAGGTGATATGTAAGTGTATATTAATAAGAAGCCAAATCTCTGGCACAACTTGAAGGACAATTGCTTCCAAGCAGGAGAAGCATTAGAAATTCTCAATGCAACAATTAAAAGCCTTTTAGTATATGAGCAAAAAGTATTTTTTACTTAACTCTCTTCTTGGAAATGTTGTTAGCATTTTCACTGAAAAATTCCAGAAAAACTTATGTTTTGAGACACATAACAGGATGGAAAAATTCAGTCTAAAAAATCAATATAAAGCAAAACTTTGAGCAACAGAAATCAGGCTTTTATAGCAGCAAATATTCGTCAATTTAGCCAGAGACTGTGTTCTCAAATCATATAGCTGACAGTTGTTTCCTACGCTGTTAGTGTTACAAAATTAAGTAATACTTACATGGTATATAGGAGATCATGACAGCAATAAGGAAGTAATAGTAGTCAAAAGAAACATTGTATTTGTTGGGAAGTCTCAGTGAAAACATTCCTGTTTTCTTCACATATGGTAAGGCAGCATATATAGTTAACAGTTCACCTGCAACTCCAACAGGATACAAAATGATAAAAAAGTTGTATCTGTGTTAAAAAAAAAATCTTTGTCAGAAACACCATGAATTTAAATTTTCCTCTTGTAATTATTAGTGACACAGCAATAAATTACAGTAACTCCTGTAGCAAAAATAAGAACCACATCCTGAGCTGCACAACTACTTTGGATAGAGCTACTTCATTTGCAACTGCTGACACTTCCGTTCTTTTCTTCAAAAACAGAGAAACGTTAGGGTGCTTGTGTGCCTTTATAATAATAAAGGGTCAAAAATAATTCCATAAACTTGTAGTCTCCAATAATGTCCTTTTTATTAAATGTCCTTTTCATTATTTACTTGTCTTTGTCCTGTTGTCACTGACTGGATTGGATGCCAAACTTTGTCACGGGGCCCGCAGACTGGGTCAGCTATATCTATCACAATTTCTTTGAATATTGCGAAGATGTTGAGAAACATCTGGTTTTCCTTCTGCCATATGGGAAGTCAAAATAATACTGCATTAGCAGAAACAGAAATGTAAAATGAAAGAATGCGAGATGGCCATCAGTTAAAGTGTATGCATTTTAAAACAGGCAGAAAGTCTAAATCGTCTAAATCAAAGGCAAACCCAAGGCATTCAGTCTGAAGAAAAATTGTTTTGTATGCCATAGACCACATTCATGGTGGGGAGGAAAAAAAAAAAATAAAAGTAATCGACAAGGTTTGCACTCCTCTCCTGCACAGGCCCAGGCAGGAGCAGCCTCAGGAGCTGTTCCCAAGGAGCAGCTCTCCTGAGCTTGTGCATGAAGCACAAGACGTGACCAAAAGAGATGGGCTTCAAAACTGCAGCAACCAAACACACAACCCCAGAGGACTCGATGGTCTCAGAGGGCTCCAGGGTCAGAGAGGAGATTAAATGAGATAAAAGGAAGCACCGATGCCATCACCTATACACAGATCAACTCTATGCAGTGGGGAAAAAAATATCTGAGCTAAAATTCTAACAATAGATGATACTTGTCCTATTATCTATGGATAGGCAAATCTTTCAAAATTACAAATTACAGATTAGAAAGGTCCAGCTTCTCAGGAGTGCTAAATTACACCCAGCTGTGCTTTTGGATTCTCCAAAAATCTTGATGGGAAATTTTGGAGTCTATGAAAAGAGAATTCATTTTCAAATGGTTTGTTTGTCCCCAATACATCCCTGCTGTGAAAATGTCAATTCTCCCCACTGCCCATATATGTATAAAAAAATCAAAACAAAACGAACAAAAACCCCAAAACTCTTCACTCAAGACACACTATCTTGATGGTAAAAGCATGCCAGACAATGTAGAACTTTCTGAACGCATTTCTCTCCCTGAAGCCTACGCAAAAAAAATGAAACAGGACCCCATTATTTTTAAGCTTACAGCCTAAACATGATCAAACCTGAGGTATTAGCAAAAAGAAAGAATGTACATAAATATCAGCCACATCAAAGAAGTGTGTTAGAAGCATCAGAACTGCATTATCTATAAAGCAAAAATAGAGCCAAATAAACAAACATAAACTTTTAAATAAATTATTATCTGCAAGTCTGTCTTCATGGGCATGTATTTTTCATAAAGTAACTATAGAAAATGAAATTTATCTAGTTAAGTCTCCTGTAATATACCAGATATAGATATATAATAGAAGCACCTTAAGTGTGCTTTTAAATCAAAGCAGTGTTGATAAGGAACACAATTCTTATGCAGGCTAAGCTGTGCCAATATTTAGTTTCCCTATGGGAATAATAGATTTACAGAATAGCTGATAAAGCAGAAGTTGTTATATAGCAATAATATGAATAAAGAATGGGAGACCATAACTCCCATCCTTTCAAAGACCTGAAGGGTATACAGACCTAAATAGATGCTTAACTTTGGGCATTGTATTCAAGGAGTCGTACTATACATTTTAAAAAATGACTCCAGAATTAAAAGAAAAAATATGAAAATAAATTAAAACTAAGTTCAAACCATAAGACATGAAAAGCAAAGGACAAATCACACCCAAAAGCTCAGCTAAAATATCTATAACATTTTAAATCAAATACCTATAACCCCAAACACAGAAAGCAACTAACTTGCACTCTGCCAACACATAACCAAAGCTCAAACATCTGCTCTCCTGCGTGTTAGCTCAGCATGCGTGAAACCAGCATGCATGGAACTATGAGAAACTGAAGTGCAAGACATCTCCACCTGGCCCATTTAATGAAGTGTGGCAAATGGTTGAGCAGGTTGAATGTGTAGAAGGAATATCGAGTAATCTCTGTCACAGTCCATACGACCAGAAAAAGAATAACGCTCTCCTCATTCTGGATCTGCAGAAGTATAAAGAACCAACACTTTCTTCATCCTTAAATTTCTTTTCTGTGCAAACTGCAACAGACTTCTATTTAAGATATGCAGAAAAGAACTAACATTTTGCAAAAAAAGAAAATTTTGACATAAAAATTATATGCTGAAGACATCACCATGTACAGTTTTTTATCATATATATTAACATATAGGCACTTCAGAAACTCAACAATTTCTACCTGTTGTGAGAATAATGATATTTCACACCTATATTTGCACTTATTCCCACCTTTTCTTCTCTTTCTGCAATATCTACTTGTTTTCCTTTTTATTCTTTTTGGTTGATTTACTTTTTTTGCTCTTTCTTTTTCCTTCTAAAAATAGCATAAAGAAAACAACACTATCTAAGATACGTTCCTTTCATAATCAGTTTTTACCCACTCTACTACTATTTTCTAATTTTTGGTTGTTTTACTTTTTTTGCTCTTTCTTTTTCCCTCTAAAAATAGCAACACTATCTAAGATACATTTTTACCCACTCTACTACTATTTTCTAGGCTCTTCTTCCTTTCTGTCTAGCTCATGGGCTGCTGTTGCTTTTTCCTCACCCTCTAATGCATGTCTCCAGGAAACTTTAGATACAAATGAAGTGTTTACTATAATCTGCAAAATGGAAGTGGGAACTATTAGCAGAATATCACATCTGGCAAATTGCAGGGCGCTGCAAGAGAGTTAAGCAACTGGAACAGAGCCAGATCACTAAATTAAGAGCAGCTGGTAGTCTAGGGGCTTTGGGTAAACTTATTCAACTGCCCTGTTTAAGATTAAAGTTTTGAGTCATTAAACTGCCTCATCTACCTGCTGTTTTAAAACATCAGCCCTTTCTCATTCCAAGTGAACAAACAAAAGAAAACTCCCCAACTACAAAGAAGGCACATGGAGATCAACTACAAACACTACCTTCTGAGAGGATTACAAAAAAGCCATTTTCTTTTCTTCAAGAGAGAGGAATTTTGTAATACATTTCCATGCCTGAAGACTGAAAAGCTCCGGGGATGTGTGTGAAATAGAGTAACACAAGTTTTGTTAAAATGACCAAAAGGGGAAATCATTTTTTTAAATAAAATGCAATGAGGTGGAAAGACTTAATACATCTCAAAGATGTTGAACACACACAATTTGAGAAGTAAGAAGAAAAGTAAGTGCTCATCAGCTCATAAAATCATGCCCTCAATGTGTCAAAGAAGGTGCGCTTTTAATGAAAGGATCTCACCAACAACAGTAAAATAAAAGGAGATATAAAAAGATCACAAAACTCACAAACAACAACAACTGAAGTGAAAAGACATCCAAATATATAAGGAAAAAAAAAAGACAGAACTAGGCCATTCTTAGCCTCATGCAGATTAGAGGCAAACATTGGTAACTCAAACTTGGATTACTGTCACAGTGCTAAATCCAAGCAGGAGTGCTTTAGATAAGTATGCAAAGAATTGCTATTTGTTGCCTTGCAAATCTCTAGTCAAGGGAGAGATCTGGGTCTGGCTATTATCACTAACACGCTTCTCACCACCTAAAGTGACCCTGAACATTCATGCCTACTAAGCAGTAAGAGTGAAACACAATCAGACATACATTTAGATGTATTTTTTTTCTTGGACACAGTTTTACTACTGTACTAGAGATATAGAAAATGGAGATGACTGGATACAGTAAAGATTTAATCCACTACAGATAACAACACAATGGCAAAAAAACACTGCCATATTCCAGCACTCACATAAACATTCACTGCAAAAAAAAAATGTTATTCCTTGAGAGTTTCTTTTCATAAAAGCAAAAATGACAACCCTTAGCTTACCAAAGGGAAAAAAAAGTAAAGTTATGAAGTGCCTATTCCATGTTAAAAAGTGATGGTAAAGGAAAAGATGAAGTGTAGAAAATAAATTATTTGTGAACTGAAATAAAAGGTATGAAATAAAGGGCATTGATATGGAGGCAGATGCTATTTCCCAGGACCAGAAAGGCACATGCCATCTGCTGGTGAGACAGTTTAATGGCTCAGCATTTTAAGTTTACAGAAATAGAGCTGCACAGTCTCTAAAATCTATCATTTACCATGCCCTACACAGAAAGAAGACCTCAAAAACTGAACTGAGTTTCCTATCCACTAGTTGTAAGCACTCTTCTGTATACTTAATTCTATTAATGAGTCACTAAACTTGCAATAACCATCTACAGCCAAGCAAACACATTATTGTCACTTATAAGGGGCCTTAGTGTCGCTATGACATGCTGGACAGCTTGACATTTTTTAATGAAAACAATGGAGTTTCAATGTCATCAAATTAACTTTAAAATCTTGAGAAGGGGCCTAACATAAGTTGTAAAATAGACACCATATTTGTCCACAGGCATTTAACATAAAACATACTTCCATTTAGATTCATTCAATAGGTGCTAATTTAAGCTCTCGAAAGAGAAGAGGTGACAGTACTTGTCACCTGGTACACTTGTTGATGAATAAAAAAAAAATCGCTAGTCTTTAATTTGACATAGGCAGGCCACAGCTGACCCTATACCAAAGCTAATGCTGACAGACACCTAAGATCCAGGCTCAGTCTCCTGGAAAGAGGCAAATCGTAAATAAATTCAGTTCCGCAGCCCAATTGCAGGAACTGCACTTCAGTGTGTAAGTATCCTCTTGTGAACATGATTAATGTTTTAATCTGCCTCTCTGATGTAATAAGAACTGTACTAATATCTTATCCTAGTAACAATTCAAACATAACTTGCTCACCCACTTACCTGTCTTATACTATGTGCAATGAACCACACCATGAAGATTCTTGAACTCACTTGGACCCCAGTCACAAGCACAGAGGTGTGAACTATTCCTTAAAAAGAGAAACATATTATTTCTGTTCCATGATTCATGTTTTAATCAGTTACATGAGAAACTAAAACAAAGGACTCACCAACTGCACAGTGGACTACCTGTAAACAAAAATAAGTTAAAGGTTACTGATTTACAGTATGTTACTATCTGCACTATAAACATCGGCTTTTTGATATTAAAATAAATCTCAGCTTAATTCTGATGCTGGACTGCTGGCTTTTACTTCAACTAACATTTCAGCACACTTAAATGATATACACTTCAGAACCCTGGAGATAATTCTCTGATTAGCTTTATATCTGATTTGTGTGAACTCCATATAAGAAAGGGATTTATTTTCTTAATTATTTTTTACATATTAAGTATTCATATATCTAGAAATAATTTACTCTTCCAAATAGTAAGCTTTCCTTACTTTGCACCCTTTGGATGCTTACTATACAGCATCTTACCTAAGGAAGAATTTTACAGGACAATGTGGAGGGCACCATAAGGGATGCTAAATAAACAGCAATTTTTAAATATTTTGTAACTATTATAGATTATTTCATTATGACTATTTTGTGAATCAGAGTAATGAGACTTCATATCATTATTTTTTGACCAGGAAAGTTTAGCAAATAGAATGCCTTTCTTTTTTGGTGGATTCAGGTAGAATTACTTCTTGTGAAAGTTCAGAAGCACAAAAGCTTTTAAGTGGCTAGCCACAAAATTTTAAATAGTTCCTTGAACTACAAATGCTATAAGCAGGTCCAGAAGAAAAGTGTAAAACTAGACGGGCACTTTTTGTTGTGCTAGCGAAAGTTCCCAAAGTGATGAGCAGACTCAGTAGTTCCATATACCATACAGCGAGACCACTCTAGTCTACAGCTGGCAGAACTTGTAGAATTTCAAGAATGTTTTAGACAATTTGCACAGCTTTTCCTGTTTCTGAACCATTCATGTTTAAGTAGATCATATGGGGCATGTGAATCCCAACTGGAAACACCCAGAAGTAGATGAGGCATAGGTAGTTAGTGGCCCAGGGTAAGGGATGAGGGGAAGGTATCATCATCTTTGGAGAAAGACAAGATGCTCACTAGGCTGGAGAGCTGATCCACTGACTTACAACTTCTGATGGACGTCTTTGGAGATTTCAGCTTTTGAGATCCACCACATAGCAATTCTTAAAGATTTTCAAAATGGAGTAATTCCCAGACAGTATTTGGTTTAAGGCAGTATTAGAGTTAAATTTGAAAAAAGTGTTTCAGCCCATCATCTTGCCCCCTCCTCCCACCCCCAACTTACTTAAATAAGGTTAAAAGGTCTGCAGTACTACTGTAATATTTTGATATTAAGTTTAGGTTACTAACATGTGTTTTGCCTATGATACACAACATTGAGCCAAGCAAACTGTAATGTTTAAAATTTACCTCAAGCAAAGCAAATGTCTGGAAAAATTTCAGCGTCTTTTGAACACTTCTGAATAGGCCTTTGTGTGTTCCTTTCTGCATATAAAACCGTGCCATGGCAATACCCAATACCAGCCACCTACGAGAGAGAGAGAGAGAATGGATAAGTTTAAAACCAGAATTCTAGAAATATCCACCCACCCTAAATAATTTAGTACAATATTTTCTACAAAGATGTTTGATTCTTCAGTTGTCAGTGTTCTCAGGGGATTATTCAAAATACCTTTAGTCATAAATATTATCTAATATTATGCAACCATTCCACTTACAGTCTCTCTGGAACCTGGAATATGTTAGAGAAGGATTTGGTTATCTTTAGATTAACTTGACTAAACCATCTAACCCAGGGGCTCTCAGACTTTTCCTAACAGCAACCACATTAAATAATTTTGTGCGCGTATTTTAGCTGGTTTTACTGTGAATTATTGTTTTATGAAAATATATGATTTCTTCAAAACAAAATAAAACACACAGCCCTAAAATCATTACTTTGAATCTCAGGCCTCTCTGAGCACAGGACTAGAAGCGAGGCTCATCATCCTTACACTTTTCATGACTCCACAGCTCGCAGTGTTCAAACCTGACTAGTGATCCAAATGCCTGTGGTTGTGATCGTCCAGGTCAAGTTATCGCTAGGATTCAGTCTTGCTTAGGAGTCATCTGCAAAAACTACACACTCTGAAGTGCTGAAAAAGGGGTGCTTCTAGAGGCAGAAATATTTAACCTGAAAACTGAATAACACTGTCAACTAGTCATCTTTCTACATAAATGACAGGAAAAAACAATATCTTTTAACTGAACTGAAATTTGTGATCAAACTGGAATCTCAATCTGAAACTGAGACCAACATAATGAATTTCATACCCCAGCGCATCAGCAGCTGCTTCCATGTAACCAACCTGTGTTTATATAACTGAGATTTTCCATACGCTCCACTGTTAATGCAGAGGTATACCACAGCCTTAAAAAGCATCATGGTAGGAAGGTACCTTGATATTTTGGCCTTAAACAACAAAGCCTAAGCAAATACACAGTTCCTCTAATATAGACATCTACTTATAAGCATAAGGGAAGTTATGGATGGATATTTTGATCGATATCCTTGTCTGATAATATCTGGGCAGCAATGATTCAATCCTTTCATTATACAGAAAGCCATAGCAGGCACTTTGCACAGACATGTGAGCTCTGGCTAAGGAAGTTTCCAAGTGACAAAGCTCTGAAGTCTGAGAAAGAAAATGGGGGTGTTTCTTTAATATTCTTCTCTATGCATCAGCTACCGTCTGGCATTGGAGATGAGATACCAGAAAAAAAAAGGGCATTTGGCTGGGCCTACTCTGCCAGAAGGATGTGAGATTTGCAGGGGTGAGGACAGCTCCCCACTCCCCCCACATGGCATGTGTTGCAGTTCCAGCCTCTAGCATCCTCTGCTCCCTTTACAATTCTTACACAGTCTGCTACTACTCAGTCACTTCACTTTGCCCATTCCAGCCCTTCATGAGAGTACCTGGAGCTGACAGGGAGTCAGGCTTCACCACACTGTAGGAATATCCTCCTCCTCCATCTCTCTGCTTTAAATCTGTGAGTCTGGTGGTCTGACAAAGCTCCATACCTTGCCCCCACTAATATAATTTAGATTTTTTGACATATTTTAAATCTGTCTTTCCTCTGTAAAGCTGTGCTGCTTAACAGTAAAGTACTTGACAAGGGGAAGGTGACCGGGTTATGTCTAGTCGGCAGCATGAATGGTGACAGCAACAGTTTCGTGCTAACAGTGGAGCAAGAAGTCGTAGACATCTAATCCAGCACCTCATTGTGTAAGGAAAGCGCTGCACAGTGCTACACTTAAAGCAAAGACTGCATATGTGATTTTCTTCAATGAATTATTATTTGAATACAATTTTCTGCCTTTTTATTTAGCTTCCAGTGACTTGGTGACTGCAATGACTTGAGAGTGTCCTTGTACTGAATATTGTAAATCATTAGGAAATGGAATACTTTGCATAATAAGGGTGAAGTTTCCAATGGGGATTTGCTGAAAGATTGGCTACTGATCTGTCATTTTAGTCTCTGAATGTATCCCTTAAACCTTTGTCAGAAAGGCAAAGACTGGTTGCTAAAATTCTATAAACCCTTTGCATTATTGCATAGTCTGAACAAATGGACAAAAATACTCTTCTTGCTATCCCATGTAATGACCCTGTTAGATATCTGTCTCTCTTTTTTTCTCTCTCTTATACAGTATCTGTTTGAGAAAAAAATAAGAATTTGCTCCTATCTCTTCTCTCTCTCTATCACATTAAATATGTAATTTTGCAAGTCTTAAGCACTCTTGACTACAATAGAAGATGAGGAGGAAGAAGTGGGAGAGGCTCAATCAGCACATAAGGTCAAAACTAAAGTGATCCAATAATCTTTTGCATACATATAAAGGTCAGCGGCAAGAGTCAGTGTTCATTAACAAATTCACACGTCTGGAGCACATGGCAGGGAATTCTATGAGCTAATATTAATCTGCAAGCTGGAAAAAAAATCAAATTGAGTAAAAGTACTTTTCAAAGTTGTTGCAATACACAAATAGATGTGTTCAAGGCACTAGTATCGATCCTAGAACTCCTGCTTCACCTCTAGCATATATTTTTGTGCTGCAGGATTCAAATAATGGAGGACTTCACCAAAGTAAGGTTGCTTTAATGATTACTTTCATGTTAGCAGTCAGAAAATTGTTTACTCTTTCTTTTAGCATTTGGAAATTAGCATTTTTTCTTTTTCCAGGTACAAGAGCTTGCCCTATAAACCTGCATGTTCCTTCCATTCCACGTAAACCTTCTATGCCATGTAAATACCAGCTTTTCTCAAAACCATGCACTGTACAGCACTGAGCATTAGTTCACACAGCTCCCTTCCATTATCACAGGTTCTTTTTCCTTCGCTGACCACCCTGCCCCCCTCTGAAGTGACAACCAGCACTGAAACGTGACCATGGACCACGTTCAATACCGGGAACCCCTATAATGCCACTGATTCGGCCGAGTTCTGCTTGCTTACATCCAGAACTCACATCTCTTTTTTGGAAAAAAAAAATCCACCTGGTAGATTAGCAGTGATTTTACAGAGCCAGTTCACAGCTGCCCACGGGCATCACCCAGCAGCATCGCAGGGTACCGTGACCTCGGCGTGCAGTCACGACACGAGGAGATTGGGACCTTAAACTGCAACTTGGAAAGTTGAGAGGCAGGTGTAAGACCGTAATGAATACATTTGCGACTTATCCAAGCCACAGAGCTCCTGAAAGTGAAACGGAGGCAGCTTCTCCCCCGCTCCAAACCCCACGTGCAAAGCCGCCTCCGAGCGCTCGGCGGGCCGCTCCGCGCCGCCACAGCGCGCCCGGCGCCG